ATTTTCTAAGAGCTTCCTTTTGGGTTTTTTTTTTTTTTTTTTTAATTCTAAAAAGTCACACTTCACTTTCAAAACATTATTTCCTAAAATGATCAACTCTTGGCATTTTTCCAGAAATGAGAACTTTCTCATCATCAGCCATGAAACCTTTCTGCAGGCAAAAGTCCAACCTCCTAGACACACAAATGGCCTTGACCCCAGAGCTTTCCAGGCCCACATAATGAGATCGACCTCATGGCTAAAAGGCCATCTTGTAAGTCTATCTGGTAAGAGTCCGCTCTGAGCTTGGGGAAGACTGGGAAAAGCAGAGGAGGCACTCAGGACTATGGGTGTTGGACCCTACCTCCTGCCTCCTCCGGCTGACCCCAACTCCCCACCCTAAGAAAGAGCAGGGGATTTCAGCTTGGTGGTGTAGGGAGCAGCTCGGCTCCCAGGTGCAGCCCTAACAGCCCCAAGATCCAGCTCCAGCAGGGGACTAACTGCTCAATTTAATCAGGCATGTCTCTCCCTCAGCCTTTGATTTTCCTGATACCAAACACCTGACATCATCCTGTTGCTCCTCACCAGGACAGAACGGGCCACCATCTTAGAAACACAGCATCCTATCAATCTGAGAACCACCACATCCTGGTAGAGTCCCCTCGCCCTGGAGGGCTGTCAGCACCCTCGAATCCCTATGGTGTGGTGCTCCTGGGCAGAAGTGGGGGGAGCTGAGGTAGACCCTCACTCTGGGGGTGTGGGAGGATTTATGTAGGAAGCTGGAAAAGCCTGTTCAGAATCCTGCTGCACTTTCATACTTGGAGGAAAGGCCAATTTACTTCCCCTGAGCAGGCTAGAGGATACCTCTTGAGAAGAAGATCTACAGAAGGTGGGCTCTGCCTTTTCCAGGTTGGAGACTCCCAGGTGAGGCTATGTCTACCTGGGCTATCGCATCTGGGAGGCATGGGTTTAGTGTAGATGACTCCCATACTTGGCCATTGATTCTGTGTCCTTTGTGGCCCCAATACTCTTAATTAACAATGCAAACATTTCCTTTAAGGGATCAAAGGCTTAGAGATGAGGAAGAAATGCAGGCAAGAAACCTAGGAAAGTGCTTGGTCCTTAACACCTACACCTGCAAATTAAGGCATAACCTTAATAAATTAAGGTGGTTAATTAAATCAACAGTTGATATGAATTTCCAAATACCCTGGGTTTTTTTGACACACATTATTTTTCTAAAGCTCTAAGACCTGTTCTGACCGTGATCTTCCTTTCTTCCAAGTGTTCAAGCCATGTGAGTTGCCTCCTGTCTCTGATATTCTACACCCCAACTATCAGCAGATCCTCTTGACTTGGTCTTTGTGATGTATCCAGAACCTAACCCTGGTCTAAGCCACCCTCACAACGCAGGTACAGAATCACTGTAGTGGCCTCCTGACCACACCCCTAGTCCTCCCTGGGCCACTCCTACAAATATTTATTGAATAAAAAACTATTTGATTAATCTCTCTAATGTTATTTGGCTCACAGGCTCATGGTAGGTTTTGTAAAAGCCATATATAAATCCTATGCATCAAAATGGGAAAGAATTATTTCTAGAAAGTGCTGAAGACCCTGAGACCACAGATTGAACAGACCAGAGCTTCTCTTACATATAGAGCTGATAGAGTCATTCTAATCCTAAAAATGTAGCTAAGAGCAACATGGAAGCCCACCACGAGCTGGTTCCTCTGTCTCAGAGGTGCTGCCTGATAGGAGTGATTCCATGGACCGGGGAGGCCTTGAGTTCAGGATTCGAACCTTGACTTAGTGGGGCACTTCGAGGCTACTGTTCTGTTAGGCTGGGAGATGGAGCCAACAGGGGCCCAGGCTGGGAGGGGTCCAGGCTGGGTGGAAAATGCTGTAACCCCTCTAGGCCCACCTTTACAAAGGTGGCTCAGAGCCAGGCTGTGAGAGCTTCCCCCACCCTGGGTGTGTCCCATTCAGCTAGAGCAGGTTACTTAGATGCCCTGGCATACAACTGCTTGCTCCCTCACCTGCCACAGTCCCCAGGCTAAGACTAGCTTTCATTGCTGGGGTTAAAATCAGACTGGTTCTAAGTCTTCTACAGGTGTCTGGTCCTGTGGTTTCTGTCCTTAGGCCAGGACTCCAGAAGTCAATGAAGATGTATTTCTTGTGGAAAAGAGCATTGAGTCTAAGGCAGGGGAGTTGCCCAGGGTCACAAGGCCTGGACCAGAGCTCAGGCCTGAATTTTCTAGGAGAGGCCCTGTCAGCTGGTGCCCAGGACCCTGAGGCAGCACCCTCGTCCTGTTTGGGCCCTGGGCAGCCCAGGCCTCAGAAGGAAACATAGGCTCAGCAGCCAGACCACAACGAAGCTACCCAAGCTCTGTGCAGGTGATTGGCACCTAGAGAGAGGAATGTTCTGGAGCCCTAAGCACAAAGGTTGGGCAGTTATATTGATATATGGGCCCTTGATCTCTGAATACTAGGAATGTTTACTGGACAGACACTATCATGGAAGAGCTGAAAGGAAATGCTGAGTTTAGGGCAAATGCCACCAATCATGCAAAAAAAGTAAAATCTTACTGGGAAGGATGTTGGGGTATCGGTTTTTATCTCTGTTTTCTTCTTTATTTGCCAGTTCAAAAGTTCCTTGTATGTGTCCAGATGGTAATGACTGGAAAAAAAATATACAGTTAGCGCTAAACGTGATGAATCCAAGCACCATGTTTATGTCAGCTTCCCTACTGACAGAGAAATTAAGAAAACCCATCTCAGGCTGGCTCTATGGTGGAACAGTAATGTTCCACATGGTGGCCATGGTTAGAATTCCCAGCCCGTCAGCCTGAAACACACTGGGCATGTGTGTGAGTGCCCAAGATCTGATGGGCTGGAGGACTGGAGGAAGGGGTTCATGATGTCATCACAAGCCATGGACGGTATTCATATCTCTTTCTCTTTCTCTTATTCTTACATATGCGGTATCATGAGCAAACCAAAGGAAAAAAAACACATGTCTCTGAGCAAACTATCTCTTCCCACCATCTATCTCTCCCTCAGACCTTTTATCAGGCACAGGGAAGAGAAGAAATGAAACATAGACCCTGGCCGACAAGTGTGTGCTCAAAATGATGGTCCCATAAGCTAGACCCTGAGCTGCATGAAGGTAGGGACTTGTCTGTGCATCCCCAGTATCTTGGGACCCACAATTCCAGAACAGGCATTCTTCAGGGGAGTATGGATGGACCAGCACCGAGCTTTGACCCGAAGACATGGGAGCCAGGACATATGGGTAGAGGATTGAAAAAGGGATGCTGTGATATTGGCGTGGGCTGAATGATGAATAGAAGATCCTGGGAAGGGAGGCTGGGAGGGGGAAAGTGACCTTAGATACAGTGTAACCTTGCTTGTAACTCCAGGTGTGCTTGTAGGCCTGGGAGTTCCTTAGAAATGCAGACTCGCTGGAATGACCCCAGACCTTTTGAATCAACACACACATTACTAAGATCCCTATAGAGGATCCAATACATTCCTTTAACAAGCTCCACATAAGCCATCCCTTATCTCAGATGAGGAAAGTGAGGTGTGGAATGAACTCCTCCATTGAATACTGTAACTGATGAGTGGCCAGCTGGGTATAAACTCGGGTGTCCTCAAGTCTAGCTTCATTCTACTACCTGGAGCCACTTCTGATGGTTGGTTGGCTCCAGCTACACTGTATTTGCTCCCTGCTTAGGAGAGCTCCTCATGGCATATGGTGTGAAGAGTCTTTTGAACCCCCAAACCATGTTTTTCAATATTAAACTTGACCATTGGCCAGGCCTGAGAGCCAGTTATTGATTGTTTACAGAGAGTTAGGCACACTAAGAGGGACTGGGCCATCGGCACAGCCTTCACAACTCATCTGGTATTAGTCAACACTAGGATCAGCCCTCCCCCCATTTCATGGATGCTAAAACTGAAACCCAAGGCAAAGTGGTTGTGCATCTGTGCAAGGCCAGCTGGCTAGCAAAAAGGACACTGTGTGGGGTCCTGGCAGTCTGAACCAGAGTCAGTACTTAATTCACAAGGAAGTGTTCATTTTATCAAATGTGGGGAAAACGTGACAACTTCCATGTGTCTTGTTCTAAGTCTCCAGGAAACTGGGACAGGCCTCACAGCACAAACTTGGTGCAAAGTCACACTGTCCTGGACTTCCTCATGCTGGGGGTCAGGGCCTGCCCTGCTGCCCACGGGTGCTCTAAGTCTTCCTCTCCCGGGGCAGGGAGCTTCTTCAATTGCAGACTCAATCCTGGCCAGCTGGTACTCATGTGAGGTATCACAGGCTCTCTCTGTCCTCTTCTTTGGAACTCCCAAACCTCATGGCTACAGGCAGAGGCTCTGCCAGATTTGGTGTGGAGAGACCATAGATGTCTCAGCGAGGCTGACAGTTCTCAGCTTTGTACCTAGCCTCCTTCTCACCCTGGAGCTGATTATTCACCTGAACTGACTTAATACTGACCTTCCTTACCTATCTGAAACATTCATTTGCTGTGACATCCTGGAGTCCTCTCTTTTTCTACCCTTAAAAGTTTTATTGATCCCAGCACTGAGAACGAAAACAAGACATATACTGGAATGATGGATGCCTGACACTGTACATATGTCAATGCCTATAGAATGTACAACACACACTGTAACTATGGACTTTAGTTGGTAACAACACATCGATGTCAGTTCACCAATGGAACAAATGTAGCACAACAATGCAGGAGGTTAACAACAGAGCAAAGTGTGGGCAGAGGAGAGATGGGTTATATGGAAACTCTGCACTTTTTATATACACCTACAACTGCTCTAACCAAGGCTATTGAAAATAATGACGTTTTTAAAAAAGGTTTTTGCTGTAGGGTATGTGCACTCACTGAAGAGACAGAGAGAAACATGGACAGAAAGCAAGAACCCCCCCCCCCCCAGAGGGGGTGGCCATGCCACAATCCCTTCTCCTCTATTCTCCTATTAGGATTTTGGGCATGCATGCACACACACATGCCTGGCATATGTCTTAAGTCACAGGGTCTGGGACTCAAACCAGGGTCAACTACATGAGAGTTCAGCGACATAACCCATTATGCCATCTGCTGATCCCCCAAAGAATAAATTTTAAAAAAAATTAACAAGCCTCCCTAGTGGGGCCTACGCAGTAAGAAAGGATCAGGCTATGATATCTCTGACATCTCCCAAGATCCTAAATATGGAGATGAGGTAGTAACACTAACCCATTCCATGGACTACACAGAGGGCCAGATGGTGTAAGGGAGGCCTAGGGCTCTGTGCACTGCATGCCTGTCCCAGGTCCAAGTATAGAGAATAACCACTGGCACAGACTCAACCCAGCAGTTTCTTGCACTCAGTCCACTTGGGGACGCAAATCTCTGTTATTCAGGTAGCCCAGGGGAAATAGAGGGCCGGGGCAGAGGCCTGCAGTAACTACAGCATCTAGCTTGAACCCCACATGTAGTAAGTGTCTGATAAATACCTTGCTATGCTACAGTCGTGTAAATTGTTCAGAGAGAGTTTGTCGTTTGTTGGAGGTGAGGTTTCAGCTCAATGACTACATTAGCCAGTTCCTCTCCTTCCCTCCTCAGTCAGGTAAGTGGCAGCAAACGAGACAAGGAGTCAGGCGTGGGTGGTTCTACATGAGGCCCAAGCTACTGCAGCAAGCTCCAGGGGATGGTTCTGGTTTGATGATCATATGGGGACTTTTCCTGGTGTCACACCGTTTTGCTTTTCTACCACTTTTACCTTTGAGTCTGTCCTAGGCATCAGGCTTAAAGTAACTGTCCGGGAAGATCTTTTCTGCAGAGGGGGATTTTTCTTCCTCAGCTTGATAACACTCACTGCCAGGATTTAATCTGAGGACTGGGAGCAGACTTTAGTGAGATGGCATTCTACCATTGCGGGGTGGAGACTGCAGAAGTTTGTCCTAACATGACTCATTTGCATGTTACAGGTTACCTTATTTTATTAACTTGCTACCACAACCCTCCAGGTCAGAGCCCATTTCATAAATGAGACAACTGAAGCAGAGGTTAAGCAAGGAACTAAAGACCTCCAGGCTGGGACAGACGCCCAGGCAGGCTGACTCCAGCATTCACCTTCCTGTCTGACAAGTGCTTTTTTTTATCCTCATCAAGTTGACTAGAATTTTGATTGGCCATACATAGATGTCCAAACTCAATTAATTAGCGACTCTGAGACTCACCTATCCCTTTCGTAAGTTCTGGGAGAGGAACTCAGACTAGTGGGCAGAAAATGAGAAATTATGTTTTGAGAGACAAGCTTAAGCATGTCCATGTAAGGACCTAAGAGTGGACTGGCTATGGCTGGTTCTGGTATTCAAACGATACTGCAAAAATGTGGTCTAAGGACATGGCCAACCCCATCCTGAGAAAGACACAAAGAAGCTGCTCTGCCAGGGTCCCCCCGAGGCAGGACCAAGAACCACAATTTTGGATCTGAGTCCAGTACTCTTTCTTCCCTTACACTGCATCACTGTCACCTGGGTCACCTGGCAGAGGGACTCCAATGTGCAGCAGAGGGGCTGATCAGTGGCCAGGCTGGATGAGTGGGAGCAATGTGAGGGTGCAAAATAGAAAGGGGTACCTAAAAAACTCTGGAATCAAGAGAAATGATATACTAATGCAATTAAAAAATCCAGATTGATGCACAAAATGCATGATGATCAGAGCATCACATCTTTTTTTTTTTTTTCTTTAGAGATTTTTTTTGTTCTAGGGCGCGTGCATTTGCCGGAGACCCAGAGAGAGATAGAGAAACAGAAAGTGAGAAATCACCCTCCCGGGGGATGGCCACACAGCAATCCCTTCTCCATTCTCCTCTTGGGATTTTGGGCAAGCACACACATATGCCCAGCATGAGTTTCAAGCCACCAGGTCTGGAACTCTAACCATGGTTGACTATATGGGGGTCCAGCAATGTAAATATTATGCCATCTGCTGGCCCCTAGAGCATCAAATTTTTAAATAATGAGAGAATCCGTATGTAAGTCGTAACTAGCCAGATTGGTAGTCTGGGTAGGGACCAGCAGGTGGCGTTGTGGTTAAGGTGCTGGACACTCCCACATGGCCGACAACAGTTTAAGTCCTGGACCTGGTGGCTTCCTTTCTCCCTTTCTCTCTCTCTTTCTGTGTCTCTCTCTGGTCAAATTAAAATAAATGAATGAATACATAAAATTAAATAAATAATTAAAAAAACAAATTGGTAGTCTGGGGTGAGAGAAAAGATGATGTATAGTTGTGCTATTTTGTTAATCCTAAATTGCTTGCATTAATTTTGATGTTTTAAAGGTTGCGTTGAAATATGATTTCTCCCCACCATTAAGCTTTTCGGTGCCCTTTTAGTTTGCACCTGGGGGAAGTGCCTCGTCCATCTCACACTATTCCTGGCCCTCCTCCTCAGGAGTTGCCTTTCTTCCAAAGTGGGCAGAAGCAGCTGGCTCTGACTCAGAAGCTTCCATCAGCAAGTCCGACCACCAAAGCCCCCCACATGGAGAAATGAAAGCGTAAGAGGAAATAGGACAAGAAGGGAGAGGGCCAAAGTCATCTAGCCACACATTTGGATAGTTATTTTGAAAATGGAGAATTAACTTCTCTTGTCAGGCAGAGAGATTGCGAAACAATCGTGCTTAAAGCTATCTTTCTATATGACCTAATTTCTTGGAAAAAGGGGACGCATTTGGAAACAATAAAAAGGAAGCAAGATAGAAGCGTGGGCTAAAAAAATAAGCAAAGTACAGTTTAAGTTCGCCACACCCTCCTGTGCCCTGGCAGGTCGTTTCTGTGTCTGCAGCAACATTCTTGCCATTTTTAGATGTCACACTTGCACAACTTGGCTGTTTACAAAATCCACTGAGTTCACCTTTGAGGTGGTTGCGTGATTATAAAGAAAGGCTCCCTCTCCCTCCCCTCTCAGAGATGGTGGATGCAGGTTTCAAGGAGATTAACCTACACACCAAGGGCCAGGGTGCCACAGGTAGGGCCAGGGTGAGCAGCAATCCTGTTGGAAACCCATCCTCTTTTGAGCTCGACACTCAGCAAACAGCCATGTACAAAGGTAAAGATGCATAACAAAACTCAAAACAGGATCAGGGAAAACCACAGAATAGCATTATCCAAGATAACCCTTCTCAGTATCTGTCTGCCTATTTGATTGTCTGTCTACCTGTCTATCTCTATCTATCTAACTATCTACTTATCTATCATCTATCTATCTATCTATTTATCTACTATCTATCTATTGATAGCAGACTGAAAATTGACAGGACATTAAATTAAAAATGAATAACACAAGGGAGGTGTCATTAATTTGTATCTGTATGTTTTGTTGACCATTAGGAGAACCAGTTTGGTACTAAGGCTGAACCAGTGGTTAGATTCCTCTCAGCTGTTAAATCTGTTAGCTGATGCTATTGCTACGTTTATGGAGGAAATTTATCCAAGACAGAAGTAGCAGGATGCAAACAAGTCAAGACTCGTGCTTACACTCACACACAGATCAGACATCAAAGTGCCATTGGAGGCAGGGCTAGTGTCCCCTCAAGGCAGTCCTCATTACTGCTTGATGCTATGAAGGTGTTTCAGAAGAGGGGCATTTTCTATTCTAATTAGATGCTTGGGCCCTCAGAAGCTAAGAAAGGGTGGTTGGGAGGCTTCATTGCTTTCAACATGAAATTGCCATACTATGTTCAGGCCGTGTCTTCCACATGATCAGAGTAACAAGTTTTCTGTCACAACTGATTTTAGGAGGAGGCAGTATTCAGAGAGCCTGAGATGGAAGGAACGTTCGCAAGCCTCTACCTCAATCATCTCATCTTGTAAATAAGGAAAGAGGGTCAGCGACGAGGCATGGCACTGGCAATGTTTCCTTGCACTCCCACTTTTGGGACGGGGCCATAATTGATGCCAAGGTTCTGAGCCGTTGGGATAGTTTATTCTGAAATTTCACAATGTATGTCATAGGACCTCTACCACAGGACATGAAAGAGAGGGGTCCTCCCCACACTCACGTTGAACTCCTAAATAAGGAAAGAGTGTCAGCGACGAGGCATGGCACTGGCAATGTTTCCTTGCACTCCCACTTTTGGGACGGGGCCATAATTGATGCCAAGGTTCTGAGCCGTTGGGATAGTTTATTCTGAAATTTCACAATGTATGTCATAGGACCTCTACCACAGGACATGAAAGAGAGGGGTCCTCCCCACACTCACGTTGAACTCCTCACGAAATCGCTTGCAGTCATCAGCTGAGCGGATGCGGATCTCCTCCTCCAGGTGCGCCACAGGGATGGGAAAGTACTTCTTGGGCCCCGAAGGGGACCTGCTGAGCAGCATCACCCTCTGCTGCTCTGTGGGGTCCAAACAAATGTGGGGGCCACTTAGACACATTCCCAGGTGGGCGACTCATTTACCAGACAGATTACCAACACACAGCTAGAGGGAGGGACCATCCTCTCAAAGCATGTAGCCCTGGTCTAAGCAGGGCCTTGAACAACTGCAGGCAAACCAAATGCTTCTTGTGATCCAGTCGCATCATCTGGAAGTGATGCATCATCTGTCCAATGTTACCTGCTCTCACCCATCAAAGACACCTCCTCCTCCCCAGTGCATTCATCCACCTATCTCGATTTCCCTCCAACCCCTGATCCTTCTGCACAAGAGCAAAGGTGTCTTCACACACCAACTCAGATTTATGGGTTTGGAAGTAGAAAAGAGAAATAATAGATTCCTGGGTGCAAGCTCAGAGCACACAGTAAATCAGATAGAATGAGTCTCTCTCAATCTTCTCTTTTGGTAACACATAGTCCTGGTTCCCCAAAACTTCTAAGGAAACAAGAGAAGCCACTCTTATTTGAAGAGGGGAGAGGGTAGACATTAAAAAAGAAAAGAAAAGAAAAGAAAAAAGAAAAGAAAACAAAAGGAAAGAAAAAAATGAAAGGCGAGCTAAGGGAGTTCTTGGACAAATTGCTTCCACCAGTTCAGAGTGAGGCTAGAAGCGATGTCATGGACTGTGCTTCCCTTCCTGGAGAAAGAGCAGATATTGACAAGGCCAATAACTGGCTGTCACACTTGCAAAAGGGCCTGTCCCCACCTGCAGAGCCATGCTGCAGCCTAGCCAAGAACTTCACCCCACGGCGCACTCCTCAAGAGACATGCAGATCAGGATGAGTGCAGCTAGGCTTCTGCTACTCATCGGCCCCACCCTCTTTCCTCCCATTCCATTTGTTGAAGTATGCAGGGCAGGGAGGGGGCAGGAACAAGGCACCCGGGGCCACATCATCATCTAACATCATCTAACAAGGGTCTGTGGCCCCCAAGCACTGCAAAACCATGGCTTGGTTGGACCTTTTGTTACAGATAGTCTTTTTGGTATCTCATGGTTATTTTATAATGCCATTTGAAGTCTGAACACGTGTGTTCCCCCCAGACCACAGCACATTAGGTAGAAAGCTGACTGCAGGAAGTCATAGTCACTGGTATGAGCCAGTGTTTTTTAAAGCCTCTGCCTTAAGCACTTTGTCGGTCATCTTACTGTGTGGAAGGAGAAGCAGTAGACCTTTGCAAGCAGCATTGACAAATTGGAAACCGAACTTTGAATCTGCAGATGTATCTGCCCCACAGCGCGGAAACACTACGTGGAGCAAGTCCCTTCCTTCAGCTCTGTCCTACAGACCACAAGCCAGTTGAACAGTTCAGATTCTGAACCAGACAGTCTTGGAATGATTTACGGGCCTAATTGAAAAGCATTATATACCAAAACCCTATGCACACGACAGGATGTGAACAGTCGCTCCAAAAAAGCCACAAACAAAAACGTCTCAAACATCTGCTTCACCCCAGAGAGAAAATGATCACGAAGTAAAAATTTGAAATAGAGAAATATATGACAGCATAATGCCATGTAAAGTGAGATGGAAATCTCAAGGCGGAAGAATTTAAAACTTACTTGACATGGTAAAGAAAGCCAACAGCCCACTTTCCGCTAAGAAGGAAACCTTTAGCCCGAGGGAGGAATCCCGTACCTTGTTCTTCTAAGATTCCGTTGGGCATCTTCTTGTCGTTGGCGCTGACCACAGCCTTCCTTTGCTTCCTGAACCTTAGAGGCACAAGACTCATTAGGTTTCAGCCTATCTAGGTGTCTGAAGAGCCAAGGGCCCCCAGCACCGGGATACCCACCAGGTGAGCCGGGAGAAGCTCTTTCTGCTGCTCATGGCTGAGCTGCGCTAAGGCTTGGCCGACTGTGTGTCTCAAGCCCCGGCCGCCCACACCCGGCAGCCTCGAGAAGGCTCATTTCCTCATCCGAGCTGGTTGGGGCAAGTCATTGCCCCGGGACACTCCTACCTGAAGAAGTAGGCGGCGAGGAGAAGAAAGAGGAGGAACAACAGCAGGGGCAGCAGCAGCCAGAAGAGCAGCGGCTGGGAGGCACCTGAGTCTGGAGGGCCTGCAGGAGGGAAAGGCAGAGCCCAGGACACCATCAGGACACCGGGCAGGAAGCAGTGGCTCTGAGGTCAGCAAGGAAAGAGCCCTAACACTAGAATGTATTTTAGGGTTTGCAAAGTAGTCTGCCTCCATCGGCCCTTGTTCCTAGGCATCAGTACCCCACTGCACAGTTTGCAAAGTGGTTGGTTCCACTGTCCTGGCCCACAAAGGCCTCATGATGTAACAAATGAGCAGCTTTTATTGTTGTGTGGCCACTGAGGAGGAAACTGGGACTGAGGACAGGGTGATGGGACTTGTCGCAAGTCCCCCAGTGAAGGCATGACAGGGGTGAGTTCCCAGCCTCTTGCATGGCCTGGCTGCCAGTTACTCCCTCAAGCTGCAGGGCACCTGCCACTCCTTCCAGTTTGGTAGGGAAGGGCAGGGGTGCTGACATTGCTTGTTTTGTCCCAGGACAGGGTTGGGAGCCTGACTCACCCAGCTCAGTCCTAGGGCACATCGGCTTGGATAGGAGTTCAAGGCACAGAGAAGCAGCCTGGCCCTCAGGCTAGAGAGAGGCCTTGCTGGCCAGGCACCAAGTGACACAGCCTTCCAGAGCTTCGAGCTCCTTTTCTACCAGCCAGAAGTCAAGTGTCAGGACCCCTCCCAGGACTAGGTAGCAAGCTGGCCACCAGACACCTTCCTTTGTCCTTACCCAGAGACAGAAACACATCCAGCAGCCTGTAAGACCTGTCCCTGCCATAAGCCCAAAGTCTGATGGGCACTGGCAACCTCGCTGCCACCTTCACACCCAACCTCTCTCCCATCCTCCTGCCCCACTTGCCACATTGTCCCTTCCTCAACAAAATGTTCTCACTCCCCAAGAACCACTTCAAAGGTCCCTTCCTCCAGAAGTCCACTGTTCTCCTCTCCTACAGATCCAGGGACTCCTTGTGCCCAGAGATACAGATCCCACTCTGCCAGGAGGGAGCAGACCCTCTAACAACTGCCTTTGCTCTCTAGTTTCTGTAGAGTCCCTCAAAGCAATGCGGGGTTTCTATCCTTCTGAGTTTTCGGGAATACTGAGCTCACTCCCAGAACCTAGAGGTGGCTCCATGAAGTTCTCAGGAGGGTCAATCTGGACCCTGGTGGATGTTCAGGGCCCTTGGGAGGGGGCACTCTGCAGTCCTGCAGCCTCTCCATTCTATAAGCTAAATGTTGTGACCCACGTGGTCCTGCACCCTGCCTACTAGGTTGTGAGTTGCCCGCAGCAGGTGCTAGATTTTCAAGGTCATTCCTCTACCTCCAGGCCCCCACACTGATTTCAATACTCTGTGAGTGGCATATGCATATATTTCTAATACAAGACAGAATTTTACTGATTTGAGTGACTACTAGATGTAGAAGTTCTCAGAGGAGAGAACTCTCGGTGATAAAGAGGAGTCCCTGCCATGAAGTAAACTTGGCCCATCTACTGAACACCCTCCTTACAATGCCTCTTGCATCTGACTAGCAGGGCCCAGTGGTCGGGAAGCCTGTTCTTTCTCAGTAGCCCCCATGGCTAGGTTTCTGTGGGCTTGGCCTGGATGGCTGGTGATGGCCCCCACACAAAGTTAAGCTGGAGCAGGCTGAGGGTGTCTCTCCAAGTCTCCCCTACTCACTGCACAGCTTCCCTAAAAGAATGACCCGACCGAAGCCACTACCCCTGCACATCTAGAGATCACCCACTTCTTATTCTGCCAAGATCTTGAGGCAAACTCATGCCCACGCTGACGGGTCAGAGCTGAGCCTAGCCCTATATGGGTCCTGGCTGCTCCATGTACCGCTGACTGGGTCCATCCCTCCCAGCCAAAAGCAGCCATGGAGCTTATATGGTTCCCCTTCTCTTTCCAGAGAGCACCAGACCTCCTCTCCTAGGGCGTTGCTGCAGCAACATTCCCCACTTCTGCATTGCACACAGGCTTGTTTGCTGCATAGATAGTGACTCATGGGTCCTACTCAGTTGGAGAGAGGGAAGAGGATATGAGCCGGCAACCCACTCATGCCTGGGCTCTGGTCAGGAAGCTTGAGAATCCAGCTCCATGCTAATGCCTGGAGTAAAGGCTACAAAAATGTATAAGCAATTTTCAAAGGAACAAAACCAAAATTAAAAAAAATAAAACAAGCCTCTGCAGGCTGGTCTGTGTCCCCTGGACACTAATGTGCTCCAGGTACAGAGCTGGGGAGGCATCTGATAAGACATTCCAAAGTCACTTTTTATTGTCATTTCATTAATGTCGCTCAGGCTGGGTGAAACAGAGGGTGGTGGTGGTGGGTGGGATGAGAGGGAGGAGCAGAAGGAGCTTCTCTTGGCTTCTCCCCAGTTACTGTCTAGCTCATACTCAAAGCCAAGCATGCCTGTATGTTCACACAAACTTGGACATGTGCAATTGTGTGTGTGTGTGCATGTGTATGCTTGCTTACATAGAATCTGGTCCTGAAAACTGAAAAATCATGGGTTTGTGTGTGAGTTGGGACCTTAAATCATTTGTTCTACCACCTGTACTTGAGGGAACTTCCATGCTGGGAGGCCCTGCAGGGAGGGGAGACAACTGCTGGTCGCAAAAGCCCCTTCATTCAGCCCAAGTACTGAAGTCTCCCAGGGAGACCTTGCTTAAGTGAGTTGGGGTGGAAGAAGGCGAGCAGGGAGGAGGGAATTCCAGGGTATATGTGGTCAGAGCCAAGGTGGTCCCTAGAGGACCTGGCTATTGGGTGGAGCTCAGAACCAATTTCCTGGGCAGAGGGCTGCCATTCTCCTCCCTTCCTTCTATCTGGCACATTTTTCTGGTTTTATTCTATGTAAGCACTACGGGAATATAGGGCTGTCAAACTAGTAAAAATAAAGAGTAAATGTGCACAAGCCATCTCTTTCTCTTTCCCAGAGTGAAAACATTGGAGTGTATCTTTTTCAAGATTTTCTTCTATATGTTTATACTCATAAATAGGCAGATTTGGTCAATAAATGGATTCATTCTTTTCTCTCATCTAAGATTTCATGGATTGGAAGAAATATCCTTATTTTATAAACTCCTAAGAAAGAAAAAAAATATACTAAATATAATTGTAAAGTGCTTCCAATTTTTTTTATTACTTTTTTTTTTTTTTTTAGATTTCTGCCATAGGGAACATGTGCTCACCAGAGAGAGACAGAAAGGGGGAAAGTGGGAAATCAATCCCCAGGGGCGATGGCCACATAGCAGTCCATTCTCTCTCTTTCTCCACACATGCACACATGCCGGGCGTGATTTTCAAGCCATCAAGTCTAGGACTTGAACTGAAGTTGGCTATGTCAGAGTCTAGCACCTTAACTACCTTGCCACCTGCTGGCCTTTAAGTACTCCCAATTGTAAGATACACCCAAATATAGTGATGTTGAATGTGAAAAAAAAACAGGACGTCCAGGGACCAGCAGTTAGCGTATTGGCTATGTCACTGGACTCCCATGTAGTTGACCATGGTTTGCATCCCAGACCCGGTGGCTTAAAACACGCCGGGGGCATGTGTGTGCGTGCCCAACATCCCAAGAGGAGAACAAGGAGAAGCGATTGCGGCGCAGCCATACCCCCTGGGGGGGTGATTTCTAGCTTTCTGTCTCTCTGTCTCTCTCTGTCCGTCTGGCTAGTGCACATGCCCTATAGCAAAAACGTCTCCAAAAAAAAAAAAAACCTGAAAAACAAACAAACAAAAAAACAAAAAACAAACAAAAACAGGACGTCCTCTGGGCAGTTCCAAGGCTTGCCTGTCTCCTGTAGCATCTCTGAGAGTTTCCACCTTAGCACAGATGGGCATCCTCATTTTGCTTAATGGCTGCTTTTGATTCCCACTTTTTGGATAACCCAAGACTGAACTAACATTTAGGTTGTTTCCAACTTTTTTGCTGGTTACCAACAATTCTGCAACTTGCATGTGTATGTCTTTGTGTATCATGCAGAGTTTTCTACAGGAGGATTCCTAAAAGTAGACCTTCTGTGTCGATGTCACACATATGAAATGATAATAGAAATTGGTAAATTGCTATCCCTGAAGTTTCCAACTTGTTTGCTTACCCACCATATGTGACGAAACTAACTTCTGCAGAATATTAACAATTCTTTTCATTTTTGTCAATCTGATAAGTAAAATAATACTGTTATTTTCATTTGACCTTTTTTTTTTTTTTTT